TCGCTCCATATATCGGTTGTTAACCTTAACGTGGGAATGCTTTACAAACATTCAGAGACAAACTTACAGACTTGCTGGTTTGGTAGGGAGGCTACAAATACACACAGCCGCTCTATCACGTGAGCACACTGCTCTGACGTGCTACGGTTATGAGCTGAGTTACGCCGTGTCGCAAGTTTTGTGAGGTGCTTTTTTGATATTTAATGGATCGGATTACATTTTTTATTTCTCTCCGATATCCGATCCAGTAATTTACGTCAGTATCAGACCGATACCGATAGGCTACGTAATATCGAATCGGTCCATCTCTACTTTAAAGTCGTTAAAAATGTAGACATCCACTGATAAGTCATCTTGCTTACTCATAGGCTGATGTAGTGTATATGTGTATTGCATTCCTCATCCTCGACTTGATAAACAAGCTGAAAACAAACGAGTTGCCCTCTTTAATCACATATTGAAAATTCCCTCACCATAAACACCCTGGCAGAGCATTTGAAAAAATGTTACAATCGAGGAGGCAAAAAATGAAGAACACTTTCTCTATTTTCCAAATGTGAATATTCTCAGAAACGTAAAAGAAAAACTCACAGCGTTCCTGTTGTAATATTTCTAATTCTACATGACTTAAATTGTAATATTGTCACACTGTATCTATTAACATTTCAGTTATGTCCTTTCGCCACCTCATTTAAAATACATTTGTGTCACACTATTGGCGATTTCATTACCGGTCGGAGACACAAAGACCAACGGTCTTGTGTTTACTGGCTCATTTAGACACGGAATAACCCACCTGACTTGCTTATGTGTGCAATGTGAGTTTGATTATGACTTCATACGTCTGACGATGAGTGAAGGAAATAATTCTTTGAAAATAAGTGAGGATGAAAACACGTCTGAACAAATACACGGCAAAGTTCAATGGGATCCAAGGTAACAGACACAAGTTAAGACCAAGCCTTCAGCATAGGGCATGTCACCGGGCCTTTCTGCTCTCATTCTATATTCAGACTTCTCTTAACAGATTGGTTGTGCTGGTAAATCCTCTCTGACTGAAACCTGTGCACGCTGAAAGCTGTTTGGTTTCTGTTCATTGTTCTGAATTATTAAAATGGTCTGGTAAGGGGTATTACATAAACCCCTGTGTTTACAAGTGAAACATTCGGTTTTCATTTTAAGTTTGGGGAAAGAAAACACTGTGACTTATTGTGTCCAACATCCCACACGCGCCAGGCTCAAGCAAAAAAAAAAAGGGGAGGGGGGAGTCTTGATGAATGAGAAGAAATGATAGAAGTGAATCAAGGGGCTCCAAATGCAGTTTTCCAATAATAGCTAGATGCCATGTAGCCTGCGGTCCTTTTGTTGTATCTCAGCAAACTAATTTGAGACAGGATGTCCCAAGTGTAACTGCTAAGAATGAAGTCAGATGGAATAACTGTTCACGCCCCATAAAAATTTTAGACTGAAGAAAAACTGAAACACGCATTTGACGTTGGAAAGTATCCCTCATTATTCAGCAACTGCGGACATCCAAGCAGCCTAAGATTAATAAAGTAAAACTACAACAAAGAAAAACAACTTTCAGAAAACAAACTCTGGCACCACTGAGCCTGTTACTTAATGACATCTGGTGGGCATCCAAACAAACTTTGAAAATGTGTTTCAAGAGCTTGCAATCATTCAGTATTAATGAAGGCATGTATACAGCTCGCAACCATACTGCATACCAGAGAGCACTCTCCTGAATCCTTCGTTTTCACCACAACTTTCTCACCAGTCAAGGACCAGAGCTTGTAATTAGGTGTTATTGTATGAGCTGTTGTAAGAAGCGATGCACTGTCATTCAGTGAAGTACACACACTACTCAATCACATAAAATGAGGCTTAAAGAGAAGCAGTTTGGTTTGTGGAGGTGTATTAGCTTTCAAGCCATTATCTGAATGAGAAACTAGACAAGAACAACAGATGGCTTATTTTAGAGAGAACAACTGACATTTATCTGCCAGAAAATGTTGCCAGTGATGTTCGCTGTGGTATCGTGCATGCATATACAGTACGTGCGCCTGTAAAATGGAGAAATTTTACACAAAAAGCTAATAAATAAAGCGGCTATCACACTCCAATAGTTGAATGGGATAAAAAAAATTTGCCTTTTGCTTAACTTAGAAAAAAAAGTTTGAAAGTACTTAAAACTATTAAATGGGGAGAAGATATCACACAACACATCTTCCATCTGGCTGCTTTGAAATGCCTCTACTGTGGTCACTGCGGCTACTTGGGAAAATCATAAGCATTTCAGGAATGGTCATCTGACATCAGGGCTAGAGAAGTTAGTCCTCCTCGTAGCCTATGCTCTGCTACACACTTGTTGCAAACAACAGCTGCAACATGCCCATACAGTGCCAAATGCTGACGCCCCTTGGCAGAGGCTCCTGACTTTACCCTGACCTGGTGCCACACCCAAACTTAAAACCAACCGAGCACTTTCTTTTTGGTGGTCTTTAAACTCTGTGACTAAGGCCGAGCCTAAAATCTCTTAAAGCTTATATCCTAGTGTTCTTCAAATTGTTATTACCTTTGATGTCATGCCGTTTGCCAGTTTGCTAAACAAAATAAGGAAAGAGTTAAAACTCCATCTGCCTCCACGTGTCACACGACACTTTTCACTCATGACAGGCTGTCCGGTCATTGTGTACTGAGGACTTAGTGGAATGACATGGCCTGAATACCTACAGGGTTATGCTGGTCTAGGCATCTTACAGACCCTCTCCAGCCTTATAAGGGCTGCCAGGGCAGTCAGGGGGGAACAGATGCACCTGTCAATAGACGGGACGGAAACAGGAGAAGAGGGAACTGTGTAGAGGCGACCAGTTTAAAGGAAACACTGGGTTTATTTACCTGCCCGTGTCAGTAAGACAGCTAATTGCCCCACTCTTTTACCGCTTTGAAGTACAAACACCACACAGGGTTTAATGCTGTGGAACCATTTCCCATCTCTCAAACGTGCGTTTACCAAGCATATTGTGCATGCTCTCTGTTAAGAGGACATGTGTGCCCTTTGCATGCAATGGAAAGACAGTCAAACCAATCAGTCAGTGGTACTGACGACTGTCTTTAGCCAATCACAAATAGATATGCTACTATCCAGCTCATTTGCTAAGCAGGAAGCCTGTTGGGCAGAGCTACAGAGAGCTAATGAATCTCTCCAGGAGGACTTACCCGCTGGGCTAGAGCCCGCACCACTTGGCACTGAAAGGTCTGTGGTATCCAGCATGCCACCTAATAAGATGCACAGAGTGATATGATTAACCATCTGCATCTTTCTGCAAGCTAGCAGAGCATGTGATGGAGATGGCAGACCAGACATGAAAATGTCATGTAGCTCTATCTTCACAGTGCACGAAAGAGTAGAACGTGCTCTGCCAGGGTCCTTATGGTGAGGGAATTTTCAATATGTGATTAAAGAGAGCAACTTGTTTGTTTTCAGCTTGTTTATCAAGTCGAGGATGAGGAAAGCAGCATTCCACTGTGAGGAGGCACGTTCAGAAAACGGTTACTTGTGTAATTCTGAATTTGTGCACCTCTGAGTGATGTTTCACACACATTTAAGCAATGCACTTAGGTCAAAAGAATATAATGCTAGCAAGCCACCAGAATCATCCAAAAAAGAGATAAATGCTTTACAGTTATTAATCACAAGGGATGAGTTATTCTAGAAAATGTCATTTAGTATACCCCCAGTAAACAAGAACATGTTACTACTGATATGTGGTCAAATGTCAGTGAGGCATTTCACACCTTGCTGCATGTGCTCCCATCAAAGGCATTGTAGTGAAATCTTGCAAAAGCCAACCGAACTGACTGAGTCCGACCAGTCATACCAGTACTAGTGTCACTGACATCATTTTTCCACTATGCAGATACAGTAAAAGGTGTAACAATGAGCATCTCAGAGGATGTGAAAAAAATATATCCACCAAAGATCAGATAAGAGGTGTTGAATGACGACTTGACATTAGCTCACTTACCCTGGAGACCATTTTGGACAAAAAGTTGAAAACCATTTGAGATAGAGACCACTCAGAGGTTAAATGTGGACAACCTAGATAACGCAAACCTATTTATGCATATGAAACTAAAGAGGTAAAAGCTAGATCAGTCAAGTTTTCTCTAATCTATCTGAAGTATGCAACATTATTGGCTTTGTCAAGTGCCTGAACTCTGTCATTCAGACATAGGTCACATTTATTGTTTTTTTTCCCCCCCGTACCCTTGAGATGGGACTGCATCTCAATATCTAGCCCCAGAGCTTCCAGCATTTCCGTCCACACTGCCATGTGTGTGCCCCATTCCCACCTCTCATATTCCCTTGCCTCTCTGTGCACCCTGTCCTCATATCCCCCCTGCTCCTGTGTGCAGCCTCTCTTTTTACTTACGTCTCTTAGCCAAAAGTCTGCGCTTGTCCTCAAACGTCTGGTAATGTCTGAACTTTCTTTTTCTTTCTTGGGTTGTTCTGTTGCAGATCGGTCTTAATTGTGAGCATACCAATCCCATAACGTTAACTGGCATGTATTTATTTGAAACAGTAAAAGTGATACATAAATGTTGTTGATACAATTTCCATCAAAGGGGCCAGGATGCTTTTTTACAAATAAAGCCGACAAGTTTGGAAAATTGATTGGATCCAAGATTAATTTGTATGTCGATTCTTCACAACATATATCCCGCTTATAAAATTAAGTGAACTTGCATGCTGCTACCTATTGTCTCCACTCTTTATGCTAAGCTAGGTTAACAAACTTCTGGCTTTCAACTCCATGTTCAACAGGGATATAAGAGTGATACTGATCTCCTCAGCAAATTCTGAAAAGTCAAAAACAGCAATTCTCAAATTTGCTGAGCTACTCTTTTCAAACTATTGCAAATAAAACTTTGATAATATTTCTGATGTTGGTGAGACCGACTCTTGTATCAATTTGGTGGGAAACTGCCTTAACCACCATTAACAAAAATCGAAGTGAGATTGTTATCCACTGACCTGCACTGCCTGCACTGGTGGGCCTCTGGGATCCTCCACCAGAGCCAACATTCCTGTGCAGAGAGGCCTGTGGAGGGGACAGCATCCCACTCTCACTCAGAGAAGCTGTGGCGGCTGCCAGGCCCTGGCTGCCCAGAGTCCCTCCTGCCTGGTACATGGCATTAGGATTGGATACAGGCACTGCCACATGCATGGAGAAGTTCTGCTGAGGCAATGCTGTGGGCTAGAAGAGGGAGACAAACACACAAATATTTACACAGATTACACTAAAAATCCAAGCTCCGATGAGTCTGATGAGTCACTGGTTGTCATGGCATCATTAACAGCAAGCTCCACTTGAAGGTTAGCTTTAATAAACAGATTCACAAAACAGGCAGGCAGGGCAGATTGAAGTACTGCAAAGGAGATCTCCTACATTGTCGGCTTTGTATGCTTTATAGTATACATAACATAATATTTATTCATGGTACTTTAATAAACATTCATAACCATCATTCTCATTAACATCATACATAGAGAATACACACAAATCTTCAAGTAATACCACAACATACACAAATAATAACTTACAAAACCCAAAATATAAAAACATGCTGTCAGGTGATCACTGTGCATTGCAGCAGTCAGCACTAGACACGTAGATTTTCCTTTTGAAACACCATTGTGTAATGTGTTTCTCTGCAAAACACACAGCGGTGGTGGGGACTTGCAACCCAGACATCTACAAGAATCACAACTCATTTGCATTTACCCACAAAGTGCTGACTGTGCAAAGCTTTAAGTGAGAATGACAGGTGGCAGTGAGAACATTTCATTATAGCATTATCCAGTGAGCCAGTTGGGTGTTATCATTAGTTTGTTAATGGCAAAGTGATGCTCTTCATGTCAGGAACATAGAGAAAACAACTGCTTCTTAGTAAGCACTATGTTCTTGCACAAGTCTAATATTGTCACGTGTGATAAGATCACAAGAGATCTGTGATATCTTGAAAGACAGAGCCAGTGTGGTACTTGGAGAAGGGAACGGGACGGTGTAAATATTAGTGCAGTGTAACGATGAAGAGATATAATTTGAAAAGAAGAATGAAAATGTTGGATTATTAAGGTCCTATGGAGACAAAAAAATATTTTTTTTTTTACCAATCGAATAGAAATCTGGATTGAGATGGCAAAAAAAACACCCTTAAATTAAAGGATCTGCAACTGTTTATAATAAACACTCACATTACTCTTAGGGTATTTACTGTAAATTCATTATGTTGAGATAGTGATTGCAGTTTGATTTGTGATAACATGACCATGATACTAGGGTGTAATCTTTCTAGCAGAAGCATGCAACATTTCATCTGTTAATGAAATGTGATCTTATCAGGGTGTGCCAAAATATCAGCGGCAAAACAACTCAACGTAAGGAACAAATGCACACCCAGTAAAGGGGGCATTAATCTTTAGTGTAGGTCTGAAAGAAGTTAACGGAAATCTTCGGAGGGACAACAAAAAGAGGAAAGAGTTAAATGGAGAAAAAAAAGAGCCAAAAATCCGTTGTGCCACAAAGCCAAGCAAGAACATTGCATTTACAGTACTTACGATTTTATGATTTCTCATCATATTATCAAACTCCTCATTAATTTTTTTATACTTTTCTTCTGTGTGAGGAGTGAGGACATATGAGGCATCGGGGTCCGGGCTATCACAACCTCTGTGTTCTTTCTTGTTTAGCGCCTGTAGTGAACATCAACATAAAGACAGGAATCAACACAAAACAGCAGGGGACAAAGGAAGTACTTACACCGCAGCGCTTGTACATTAAATCACTGTCTTCGCTTAGTTTGCCGAAATGGTCATCCATGAGGGGGCTGTGCCCAAAACAGTCATCAGGATCAGGACTAGCACAGTCATTATGGCCTTTGTTTCTCAATTTCTGAAATGAAATTGCACAGTTGAAAAGAAACAATGTACAAGAAGTAGTCCTGTGTTTATGTTGCTTGTTACCTGTTATATACAACACTGTGCAAAAGTTTTATGAACATCAGAACTGTACATTTTTATACTAATGCTTAACATTAGGAGGAAACTGATCTGTCACAAAATAATTCTGTAGCATTACAGACACAGTCAGCCATAAATACATGTCTTCAGTGCTGAGAAAAACAACAGGTCTGTAACAGATGGTATGGCCCCCATACAACATCACTGAGTCAGTCTAGGATCAAACGAAGAGACAGAAGATGCCATAGACTGTATTTATAAAAAAGCCAATGTGATGTCACCCATTGGTTTGTGGACTCATTTTGAAGCCACAGACTAAGCACTTTGGTCGCTGCCATCTTATAGAGGTGGATATGGCTGATAAAGTGTCACATGTCATAAAGTAACCACTCCCTAAAGCATAACCTGCTTTACTGCCACTTTTACTCGGCTAGAATTTATGAAATAAAACAGCACGTTATGGTAAATAAGGCCTGAAACTAGCAATCGAGATCATAATCGCATAGGGGGGAAAAACGCTTACTGAGGTAATAAATAAAGTAGGCAGTAGGACAACTTAATAATACAATAGGATTTTATTTTTGCAACCAGATGAGCACCACCCCCTTGCTCGCCATTAGAAAGAATGTAGGTTTAAGGCACATTGATGCCCAGTTTTTAAATATACAGTATAAATCAGACACTGAGGTAACCCAATTTCAGACAAACAGTGGTGAGTTCCTCAAGATGCTTGAGATAATCTCACAGCTGAATAACTGGAGAAACTCTGTGTAAGGCTATGTCATAGATGTGCTAACATTTTAAGGTCGAATAATAGATAACTTTTTAAAATCTTTGCACTTTTTGTCAAGGTAATCATTCGCAAATGTACCTGCAACCTTTGACCAGTACTGTACTTTAAACCAAATTACATGTGAAAATATTCTACTCTGTTTTTTCTTTTCAGAAAATCAGAAAAACAATTTACAAACACAGTGGGCTAGAGTGTGGAAGACAAGGATAAACTGGAAAAGTCACTTTCACCAATTCACCCTTCACCTGGAAACTCCCTTTTTCTTTTCTTGTATCCATTCCTGTCCCCACAGCCTATGCATGTGCATGGCTATATCTTTCACATTTATTAGAATGCCCTGCACAAAACGACTCTACAGCTGAGCACACCTAGTCTGCAAATTAGTATGGTTGGCACTTGCATACTCTGATCAAAGTTAATGAATGTGCGATTATCAAAAATTGGTTACATATGCTTATTTGTGCAGGTCATTGAGAAATTATAGCAACATAAGGTGGTCCAGTGTGATGTTATAAAGAGCCTATTCTAACTTTAGCGAGGTAAGAAACATGCCATGAAACTAAGCTCTTTTGCTCACTTTCATACAGGCTATTCTCTGCTCCTCATTACAGCTCTGAAAAGCAGTGTTAACAAGACTTGCTGACAGCATGTGACAGTTTGTGATATCTAGGCAGTGTACATCAAAACATGATTTATGCGAGGCTCCCAAGACTTCTCTATCAGGCTGCTGCAGGTCCACAGCAGCACCCTGCCCCATCTTGAAGACCTCGTGTCTACAGGAAGGTCACTGACTCCTGTGGATGTAGGGGTTACAGTGCACACCAGAGGAAAGGAACCTACACACACTAATGAGACCTTACTCTCTTGTTTCTGGTCTTCATCATGCAGCAAAGTGGAAAATGTGTGTCTGTGTGTGTGAGAGAGAGAAAAACAGAAACTATGTGAGTAGGAGTGTGCGGTGCATATGTGCAATGTCTGTACGTTGTGTGTGTGTGTGTGTGTGTAAATGTGGTGAGGGGAATGGGGGAGGGGGGGTTTCTACAGCTGCTACATCCTCTGACAGCGATGTGACAGTACGTTTAGGTCTGTGCAGACAATGTGGCTAACCTAGCAGTTCTCACCACAACCTCAGTGTAAGTCACATTTCCTAAAACCTGGGTTGTATGAGACTCCTGCATAATACAATTTCTCATTAAAACTAGACCACTTTAAACACCCGACTGCTCCTCCAGTTTTCGTGTACATTTTCTTTTTGAGGGATGTATATTTTAAAACCCAGTAACAATGTTGGTATGCAACATGCAATGAGAGAAATTAAGCTGTGCATAGCTGGGATCGAAATGAGGAAGTTCAGAAAGAAAGAAACAACAACAAAAAAACACCCACATCTCTTTAAACGTTAAGTGTACATAGTGCCCAAAGGAGCGCAAGAGAGAGAAGTCCTCTGGATAATGAATGACCAGCACTGTACCACAGATGCATTACTGTTTGGTGTGGTACAGAGTGGAGGCATTCTTCTCATTCTAAGAAAACGCCTTGCTGGTTCATTTCCTGTTTACTGAACGCAACCCCCTTTAGTTAGTGTCCTGAAAGGCCTGTGTTTACTGGGGTTAAGCTATGCACTTTCTCCACCAGTGAGCCAAAGATCTGATCTCAACCTGCTAATTTCAGTTCCAACCTGCCCATTATGGGAATATCTTGGTCGGATTGGTCGGGCACGGCTGTGCGAGATGGGCAGGGTTGCTCCACTTTCACAACAAGCCTGGCCAACCTTCAGTACACCACACCCACTAGTCCAAGCCTTTTAGGGAGGGGTAGCAGAAGCAGAGTGGGCGAGCAAGAACCAAATAGCAGTCAAGGGCAGGCGGGACTCAGATGTGTTTTATGATACATGACACGAGTCACTACAATACATATTATCTTCAAAGAGATGTACTAGAAGGTGTCGTGTTGTGCAACAGTTCATCTCTGTACTGTTCTAATGAATGCAATATTGAAGTGCAAGTAAAGCATGGCTGTAATTCTTTTTTTAAATTACTTGGCATGTTTTCGGGTGCCCCCCCACAGACACTGCCTACAGCTCTCAGTAAACGGATCACTAAATGAGCACATGGCCAAACAGGTGCTCCTCTTCCAAACACCTGTCAAGACCTGGCTCCCCATGCCAGCCAATCAGAGGCATACTCACGGAGACATAGCCATAGCAGGGACCACATGTATCCCTGAAGGCCCCCCAACCACAGACCAACTTAGTTCTTACATGCCAGTGTAAGACGCTACAGGGTTCTGACACGGAAAAGGAAGAAAATACATGATTAGGAAGCAAAAAACCCACTTTCTCTTTTCCGCATTATGAACAGCTTGTTAAAAGCAGCTTTAAAATGTCTCTCAAATGTTGAATCAAGCTTTGGGCTTCGTACTTTTTGGAAAGTATAGTTGGCTGGACGTGAATGCAGCTGAGGCTGGGATTTTCAGTAGCATGTCTGATGAAAGATACGGCCTGTTTGTTGCGGGAGAAGGTTACAAAGGCTATAGACAAGGGAACTTGTGTAATCTATTCACGAGGCCCTGAGAGGCTCACAAAGATGAGTGGGAACAAGGCCAGCTGCTATTTTCTCACAGTGGTCCAAACCTGTATTGATAGAAATTTGGCTCTTGAAATAAAAATGAGGCTGAGTGGCTGATGACAAAACCTACTGGGTCCTATTGTCTGAGAGTGCATCTATAGTAAGTGTGTCCATCAGTTTGCTTTTGTGATACTTCTCTTAAAAAATATTTTCCATTGCAGGAGGCCTTGAAGCTTCCTTGTCCTGAAGAAAACATTTATCCGTCATTTCCATCTGAGCCCTGACTAATAGCCTAGTTGTTACCATGGGAAGCATTCAGCGCAGTAATTGCCTCCTCAGGTTTGCACTGTATGTTCAGCACAGGAAGCAGCAGAGCAGTTAGATCTCACCTTGCATTCCATTTTGATATGATATCAATATAAATTCTCTTTTTGATTCAATTCTGCGCAATGACACGGACTGCTACTAAAATAAGTGAACTTTGAACAGTTTCTGTGTGTCATTAGGCATGACAGATCATCAGTTTACGTCACTATGCTCAATTCTGCCTCCTAGGTTTACTTTTAAGCAGGATTTTCACATTCAACGGGTTAAAAATAAAACCCAAACTATTGCATAAGCCACCTACATCACCTGTTTCTTGAGAAGTACTTTTAGTGAGATGGGTCCAAGCAATTTACTCTGCTGCTGTGAGTCTTGGAAAACCATTTCTTTCTGATGTTCTCCCTCTCTTGTGTCAAGAGAGCTTTCTGCACTTAACTTATTCATGTACTGTACTCTACTGTACATGAATAGAAGGGAGGGTGAAAGGAGAAAGATAGTGGTTAGGTATAAAAGCTAAACTTCAAAACTGTGGGGGGGGATGGCTGAAAGGAGGGCATGAAGAGGCTGTTTCTGCAGTCTCTTCTATTGTGCCTGAATCACGGCAAAAGGCTATACTTACAGTAGCTTTCACTATTGGAAGAGCACCGCCTGACCTATGACTGGTTTACCACAGCTCCGATTCAAGGCCCTCTGTGGAAAGATAGTCTGTAGTTATAAACTGGAGTACATCATGAATGTTTAATTCACGTAGTGTTTGTTCAAGCCTCCCCGTTAAAAGCCATATTTTAACGGGTTGCCGTGCCTGCGGCCTCCCCTCGCCTCATTCCAGCCGGGTATCTTGGCCCGCTTGCCCTGCAGTGCTGTGAATTAGCCCTTGTGTCTGCCGCTACACTAAGCAAGGTAGCGTGCTAATCCTCATGACATCACTATTGTGTCCAGGCCGTTCCATCTAATGTGCTTATCAAAGGGCTTCTTTGAGTGTTAACGTACTAGGAAATCAGCATGGGGAGGTGGCTTATAGGAAGGCTTTTATCTACTAAGGGATATTTCTGCTCTTATATAACATCTTAACAATCTTTCAGTGCCGCCATGTTCCCTTTCCTCTCTGGTGGTGCTGTAGTCTTCACTCAAGGAGAATAAACACTTCCTCAGGTCGGTCTTTAGCCGCTGTTTGAAACTGTCCAGCACTGGGTTACTAGGAATCCATTTTTCTCCATTTCCTACCGCATACTGTGAGACTAGAGCAAG